ATTGATGCCCAACATGACGAGTGAATTGGCTGAGAGCAAGTTTGAGGAGTGGAACCGGCTATCATACGAGCTGGTGCCTTCAAAGCGTGGGTCTAAGGCGATCTCGGGCAGCATAGATGGAGCATCCCCGGCCTAGTCAACCAAGGACAACACGGAGCATGGGGCATGGAGCGAACATGAAGGAGTAGTTCAGGATCATGGTAAATGTCGAGGGGTGGGAGATCTGAGACCTCCCATCTACCTTATGCGCGATATTTTGCTCTTGAATGCTGTCCACAAAAGGGTGTTTGATAAGGTAAATTGAGAATGGCATTCAGATTTGGAATGTAACGTCATGATAACAATTCGCATTCTTGTGTCAATTTGTGCAGCCCTGACCACAGCTGATCAGAGCGAAGATTTCACTCTTCATGAGTCTTACTTTTCTTTCTGAATCGCGGGGATACCTGCGTCCTGGAAAAATGGATTGACCAAGGCTGCCCAGCTGAAGCGCTGCTGCAACTGGCTACGCTCGTCCACGTTCGGGGGCCGCTGTACAAAGGCCCATACACCGTGATCAGCAATCACGTCAATGGCTGGTCCGGTCCGCATGCCTTTGTTCAAAAGAACAAGATGCCAGGCAAGAAGCACGCCCACGCCCTCGAGAAGGCCAAAGGGCGCCACCCAAAGCAGGCTCACCATCCTGTCCGTGCCATCAATTTGCAAAAGCGCAGGATCCGCACCCGGTAATAGCGGGGCGACCCAATGTTGGTAAAACCGAGGCCACGCAACCAAGCAAGCGAGCGCGCACCCGGCTGATGCATAGGCAAGCAAGCAAAAATATTTCACAATGTTGTCACGGTACACAATGTTCATGGTAAAGGGGCAGTGGTGATCAAAGCCTGGCACGCGACGCGCACGCCGGTCCTCCAGCGGCGGCCGAGTGGTGGTGCAAATGTAGTAGTAGCTGGCGCACATTATCCAGAGGTAGAGGATGAGGAGGGTGAGCATCCCCTGCAGGACTGTTCCGTATGTTTCACCGATCGTGTCGTAGTACAAGCCAAAATAACAGCCCAATGCCGCCACAAACGCCGCGACGACCCCGACCGCCACCATAATGCGCAGACCAGACACCGTTCGCGTGACGCGTGGCCCACCAAACACAGACAGAACCAGATCCAGCAGCATGGGCATCTGAACCAGTCCCACGCAAGCCGCGATGATAACAACAACCCACGCCATGGCCAATGTTAGTCCCACTTCAACCCACCGCCCCTCTTCTCCCGAGACCCCGTCGTGCTCCCAAAAAAAAAAAAAAAAAAAAAAGTTAAGCGCGGATCGCTCCAAACCCGCTCGAAAAGTCTGACAAATCTAAAACTTCTGACAACCGCATGCGGATAATACGAATGTGTAACATCTGCTACACAATGATAAGAGACAATTTGAACCGCGTGCTCTCTCCTCTCTCTCTCTCTCTCTCTCTCTCTCTCTCTCTCTCTCTCTCTCTCTCTCGTCGTGCGCTCGGCTCTCGGCGGTCTCACACCTCCGCTGGACTTGCGCGCGCTGTTAAGTCTGTGTGTTCGGTCGTGGTGGTAGGAGTAGCGAGCTGGTTGCAGCAGGTGTTGTTCTGAGTTTTGTTGAATCACGAGGAGGCTTGACGCTGCTGTGGTTGGTTTTGAGCGCAGTGGTATTCTGCTGACGGGGTAGACAACGGCGCGACCCACTTGTGGGCCGGGCTTGGCAACATCAGAACACCGAGAAACGGCAACATGGATAGTGACCCCTTTTTCAAGTCTGCCGCCAAAGTTGAGCGGTCACGTGCACGTGGACGCGCTGGTGCTGGCCGTGGTGCTGGCCGTGGTGCTGGCCGTGGTGCTGGCCGTGGTGCTGGCCGTGGTGCTGGCCGTGGTGCTGGCCGTGGTGCCGGCCGTGGTGCTGGCCGTGGTGCTGGCCGTGGTGCTGGCCGTGGACGTGGCGCCGGCCGAGATAGCGCCAAGCGTGGAGCAGCTGATCGTCAGCTTGAACGACATGAGGAGGGTAGCTTGTATGATGACGATGCGCCTACGAATGGCCTGCTTGAGGCCTCGGATGATGAGCTGTCAGACCATGAAACACCCGCGGAGAAGCGCTTGCGCATGGCCAAAGAATTAGTTGCCCGCGTGCAGGCCGACGAAGATGAGGACGAGGAACAAGTCTCTGCCCGGCTCAAAGATCATTGGCGTGAGGCCAAGGGTGTGTTGGCACGCGCCGTGGCCGCCACGCTCCAGGGTGCAACCATTGACCCGCAACGTACCATTCGCGTGGCTGGACATCGCCTTCCGGTCACCTGCGTGGCCTTGGCCCCAAGCGGAAAATCTTTTGTCAGTGCCAGCAAGGACGGCACCATCATCAAGTGGAGTGCCGTGACAGGTGCGTCTTTTGACCCTTCAGCAGCTCAAATATTACAAGCTGCAATAGTCGTCTATGGCAGAAACAAGTCACTGGTGTGGCGCTCTTGCTCTTCTTCCATTTCTTCTTCCTCTCGCCCTGTCCTTCCCTCCCCGCCACAACGTCTCCTTTTTTCGCTTCTTGGTGTACCCCGTGGGACGCAAACAATTGTTATACCTCACAGGCTGGCATGGGTGATGCAGGATTGCGCGAGTTTACGTTCAAACGAGTGACTCGTGACAAGAAAGCAGGCGAGAATGCGTTCCCTAAGGGACACAGCAAGGCCGTTCTAGCCGTGGCCATTAGTCCAGATGAGCAGTATCTTGTGTCCAGTGGCGTGGAACCGTTGATTCACGTGTGGGATTACAAAACGCATGCCCACATCAAATGCCTCAAGGGCCATCGTGGCCCAGTCAATGCGCTTGCCTTCCGACTGGGTTCGCTACAACTCTTTTCCGCTTCGGACGACCGCACCCTCAAAGTACGCACAGTTGGTGTCCTTCGTGTTGCAAAGGGGCATCAAAGCCGGTGATGCGGGGCGAGGATGCACTTTGCACACTTGGCAATGCATTTGATTCAGTGTTAACGTTCTGGACTGCCTTTTGTCACTTGGACGTAGTTGTGGACGTTGGCGGAGATGACCTACGTAGAAACACTGTTTGGTCATCAAGAAGGCGTGCTGGCGGTTGATGCTCTGCACCGTGAGCGAGCACTCAGTTGCGGCGGTCGTGATGTCTCCTTGCGCCTTTGGAAGGTTGGTCACGGGTCCTCGACATGATTCCCTGCCTCATGCAAATGCTCCCTTTTCGTTTTCAGCACGCTACCTTCTGACGTTCTGATGTCCGAATAGATTGTGGAAGAGTCGCAGCTTGTTTACAACTCAACCCAGGCTGCATCCATCGATTGTTTGGCCCTGCTCTCTGAAGCCTACTACGTCTCGGGCGATCAAAATGGGTTCGTCGGACCCACTCGTTGACCCGTAGCTCTCTTTCTCTCTTTCTCTCTTTCTCTCTTTCTCCCTTTCTCCCTCTCCCTCTTCGTCGCTCTCTTGTTCTTGTGGACAGCATGATGGCTCAGTGACCGCCGTTCTTTGTGTAGCACGATTCAGTTGTGGGATCAAAACAAGAAAAAGGCATGCCATACGCTACGCAATGCGCATGGCGAGGGTGTCTGGATCACCGCCGTGGCGGCCGTGCCGTACGGTGACATTCTGGCATCAGGTTCGGCACTCGATAGTTTTTCCCTCTGTTTCCGCAGCCAACGGGCCGCTCCAAATGCTGTGTGATTGCTCATACTTGCTATATGCTCGGTGGCGTGGCTGGCATGCAGGTGGCTCGGACGGGCGTATCATCTTTTGGCAGGTAGCAGACAAGCTTCGACGGCTAACCAGTGTAATGGAGATTGTCGTGGTAAGTCGCACAGCATGTAGGATCACGGCCTGAGCTTCTTTTCAAGCCTGTTGTCTCATATCCTTCGATACTTTGGCTTGCAGGGTGGTTTTGTAAATTCGTTGCGTTTCAGCAGCGATGGCATGCGCTTGTTAGCTGGTTGTGGCAAGGTAGGCTTGGGAGTTCCTTGCTCCTTTTTTGAAGCCCCTTGTTGACGCTTTTTTTTTCTATGAACAGACGTCTCGCCCGCTGGGCTCTGGGCTAACCTGATTTCGCGCCATGCCAATTTCGACAATGACAGGAGCACCGATTGGGTAGATGGACGGTGGATAAGTCAGGCGCCAACGTTAGCTACCTTTATGACCTATCAAAGGAGAGCCTGCTTCGTACGCCAGCGGCAACTGAAGGCGAAGGGTCCACGGCCCACGAGGATGGCGATGCCATGTCCGAGGCTGATTAAGCTTTCAAATTACGGTAGCCTGTCAGACCATGCCCGAGTTTTGTGGCAAAATGCACACACTGTTTGTTGCCACTGTATTCGGTTTTTTTTTTTTTTCTTCTCTCTCTTTGTGTTCTTGTTGACAGTAAAATCGATTCATGGCAACTGCATCAACCAAGGCAGCGGCGGCAGAGAGCCTCCGTTGGGTGGACATCATGCATGGAAAATACCAGTTGGTCCTTTAGAGAAAGAAGCGAGCCGCAACGCAGGTTGCCACAGTCAGTGCGGCAAAGGCAACGAGCGAAGTCTGGCGGCCGAGGTTCTCGTCCTCGGGGATGCGGTAGTACTTGCTCACGAGAGGAGCCAGGTTACGCAGAGTGGTAGGGTTGAGTTTCTCAGGGGCAGTCATGATGGCCACCTGTCAAAATTGCCGAAATTGTCAATGTGTTGTGACCGGGGAAAACAATTACAAAAGAGCGCGTGCGCGGGGGAGGGGGGTGAGGAGGAGGGTGAGTTTCGAGCGCACAAGGCGCCAGGATCGGGGCCAGAAAAACTGACTTTGAGCGCATCATGCTGGGGGCAAGGGCCGGGGTGAGCATTGACACGGTTCACAACATTGCGGACAATGGCCTGAGAGAGCTGAACGTTGGCCTGCAGATGAAGGAAAGAAAGAAAAAATGCAGAACCGTGAGGCTGAAGATGGTAGAGGGGCCAGAGCGACAATTCCTTGAGCAAGACACGACAGGGCGTTGATGAGAATGACAAGCTCATACCTTGAGCACGGCAACGACGGCGTCGACGGAAACATTGTCGTGGTTGGGATGCCAGCTGTCGTAGTCGGTTGCCATGGCGAGGACGGCGTAGGAAATTTCGGCCTCGCGAGCAAGACGAGCCTCGGCAAGGCAGGTCATGCCGATGACATCGGCGTCCCACGAGCAATAGAGGCAAGACTCGGCAATGGTCGAGAAGGCCGGGCCTTCCATGTTGACGTAGGTACCTGGTACGCCGAGGCAAGGCAGGTGACAGGTTGAATAGGCATATCACGACAGAGACACAAGAACATAGTTTGATGGTTTGGTTCATGCTGTTTTTCCCATTTCAGCCTGCGGTTATTGTTTGGTATACAAGAGAGAGAACCGGGATGCGGGTCGTACCGTGGGCATGAAACTTGACCTTGGCGCTGGAGCAGGCCTCCTCGCACGATTCATAGAGGTATTCACGGAGCTTCTCGCACACGGGGTGGGCCATGCTCACGTGACCAACACAGCCTAAAGATGGCAGAGATAAGCAAGCGAAAAAGAAAGACGAGATGAGGATGAACAGTGTTGTGACGCTCATAAGTTACGGGTTTGAGCAAACAAGGGGCAATGGCCTCTGGAACACACCGTTCTCGAAAAAAGTGTGCTGGCGATGGTGGGTGCGGTCAATGAATTGATCCACAAGGACGACCTCGCCCGGAACAATATCGTCCTGCATGTGACAATGAAAAGGCGGTCGGGTACCATGATTGAGCCAAAAAGATTAAAATTGAAAAAAGAAGAAGGAAGGGGAGCGCTGGAAGCACGTTGCGAAACACGGCCAGGAGACCGACCTTGAGCGAGCCCACGGCGGACACGCCAATGAGAAACTCCACGCCCAGAACCTGCGAGCGAACCGCAGGCCTGGTGAGAACGCGAATGATGCGAGAGTGGATCAACGCATCCAGGATTGCGGCTTACAGGCGCATACCTTCATGCCGTAGATGTTGGCACGATAGTTGACCTCGGTGGGGTTGTGCACGTGACCATAGCCGTGGCGGGGGAGGAAGACGCACTGGCACATGTGCCAGTGGAAGCTTGATGAGCGGGATGGGAAGGAATGGTTTGAACGCGTGGAGAACGCCGGAAGCTCTCACCTCAACACCCTCGAGGCGACCAATAATGAATTCGCCCGAGGGATCGCCAAAGGGGGTCGAGATCTTGACTTTCCTATTGAGCGGGACACCAGCACCTTGTTGTCAACAATGGGGCGACAGGCGAGTTGCAACAAGCAGGCAGGCTGGTCCAGCGCATTGCGAAACAAGAGAGATGCAGGCGGGTACGTACTTGATGACCTCGAGGCCAGTCATGTTGTAAAGGCCGGAGCCACCGATCAAACCAACGCGAGGCATGTTACTGGTCCTGTTCAGTTCTACATCCGCAGCACGGCGCGCACACCATTTGCCGAGGGCGTATAAGATACCATACTCGAGTAGTCACCCTTCACCCTCGGCTTATAACCTTATCACCTCAAGATCCCCAGCCCAAACGACCAACATCAACAGCACCATCACGACCACCACCAACAGCCCGATGCGCAGATAGAGAGAGGGAGGGGCGCTGCCATTTGGGGGGCTCTCACCTCTTCACACTTGGGAAAAAAAAAATGAAAAAAATAAAATAAAAAGCTGTTGAAGGAGAATGAGAGACTAAGAGAGAGACTGAGAGACTGAGAGACTGAGACGAAGAAATAAAAAGCCAGAGCTTGAGAGACGAGGAGACTGAGAGACTGAAAGACTTGCGGGACACTGCTTCTTCAACACGTGCGTTGAGTCGATAACGCTTTCGAGACGGCATTGAAAAGGACGGATGCGGCAAACTTTTGAGGAACAGGTTCCATGCCAACGACAAGCATGAGGGCTGCCAGCTGCTAACCATCACAGTAGCCCGAAGCAGCCGGCAGAGCCACCGCGCAGGAGAGGTCGAGCCCCCCGCCGCCCTGAAAGGTGAACAACACATGTTGAGCATAGCATGTTGGTTGAAACAGTAGTTTTGTCTATCGCAGATTGTAAGACTTTTGAGAACTCCTTTTTCCCTCCGCAAGAGGGTATGAACGTTTGCCCAACACAAGTGAGAGAGTCAACCCAACATCAACAATCATCAGTAAATAGAATCATGCAGTACGCAGAGATATGGCTGGATCAGGGTCCACAACCAGAGAAGGATCATGTCAGCGTGCAGTTGACCAGCGAGCGATGCACAACGTATTTTCCTTTGAAATCCAAAAGTTGGTACGTCATCGTTCGTGTGTGAAACGGAACGGCATCCGGCGACCAGACGCCGCGCTGACCCCAAATGCAATCAACGGGAGCATGAAAGACATTGCTCAGTGCCCAGATGTCTGATAGCTCATCACGTTGGTCAAACCGTTTTGTGTTGTGTGGTTGTTGTTTTGCTACAGAGAGCAGAGCAAGATGGCGGAACTCGAGAACGAGGTCAACTTTGATGAGCTCGATGAGCAGCTCAATGGTGTGTCGCGTCAGCTGCCAGGCTTGTCGTTGTATAGATGGTCGTGCTCAATACCTGTCGTGCCGCGCATTCAAGGCCTCGGCTAGAGCGACCCCTTCTCTCCTCCCGTGCTTCTTTTTCTTCTACTTTTCTGTTTGTTTGTTTTTTTCTTTTTCTTTTTTTCATTGGTGTTTGGCCACCTATTGTAGAAACAGACGGCGGCGCGACTGCTGAAGCCAATGAAGATGACGCAAATGCTGGTGCAGGTCAAGAAGAGGGAGACGAGGACGATGGCGAGACACCAACTCTCGAAGAACTGAAGGCACAGGTCGAGGCATACTCCAAAGAATCAGATGAGGACGCCCAAAAGCTGAAGCAGATTCAGGAGGCTGCTCGTCGCCAATATTCGACATCCAATGACGGTGAGAGCCCCCACCACCGTACCGCGCCATGCCTACACGAGCACTCCTTCAGATCAGAACCCGATTCATTATGTAACTTTGCCTTTTGGTCCTTGATCCGTCTCTATTGCTTTCTTTGTGTTCCAGACGAGGCCTCGGGTGAATCGCGAGAGGAGGTGGACGCACGCTCCATCTATGTGGGCAACGTATGTTTCTTTCGAACCTTCTCCTGCCCCCTCCTCCCTTTTTGTTCCGATTTATTTGTTCTACGTACGTGCAAAGGCCCGAGCTCATTCGCTGTCCTCGTCCCCAGGTTGAGTATGCTGCCACGGAGGAAGAAATTCAGGCCCTGTTCAAGGATTGTGGCGTTGTGAAACGCATCAAGATTATGCGCGACAAGTTTACGGGTCATCCCAAGGGGTGCGTTTGCCCGAATTGACGATCGCTCGCCACAAACACGGTTGTGGCCTCTGACTTTGAAATATTTCTCGGCCGGCTCTTACACACCCATCTGGCTGGCTGTTTGCCCCTGCCACCCGTTTCCCTTGCTGCAGATTCTGCTACGTCGAGTTTGCCGAGCCCAACGCCGTGCCGCTTGCCATGGCTTTGGACGAAAGCATGTTCCACGGCCGACAAATCAAGGTCAAATCAAAGCGTACCAACCTGCCCGGCTTGGCCCGAGGCCGAGGCCGAGGCCGTGGCCGCAGTCGTGGTCGTGGCCGCGGTTACCGTGGCGGTTACCGCGGCCGCGGCAACCGCGGCGGCATGGCCGTCTACTTTGCTCCCGTCAGCTACTAAGTGCCCATAACCAAACATGAAACCCTTTGTCATGATGCACACGAGGCTTTTGCCCCACCTGCAGCCACCTCTAGCAAGGCGTGGGCTGTTTGCAGCAACACCAAGCAAGTCTTTGCCGGCTTTGCTGGGAGCAATCCTATTGCCGTTGTGTGCATGCGTGGCCAGTTGCCTCTTCCCCACCTTGAAAACGTCGCCGCCTTGCAGCAGAGGCCTAGACTTGCCGGCACGCCTCTCTGGAAAGGAATTAGGGTAGCATTGCCCAGCTTCCGTTTAAACCCTCAAGTTTGAGCCCACTTTCCAGGTTTCTCGACACTCGTGACGCATGCTCTATCAATCGATCAATTATAAAAATATTAAAATGTACATTGAGCCTTTCCCACCTCGCAAGCTCTGCCTGCCGAAACACGCGGCTCACACCAGAGCATAGTCGCCAGGCGCAGCATCATAGTTAAAAACCGTCATCCTCGCTATCACTTGAAGCAGGATTACTCGCGACAGATGCCATCTTGGCCCGCCGGAGAGCCAAAGCCCCCATAAGTGCACTAATCACAGCATCTGATCCCCCAGCCGATGTCGTCGGCTCTTGTGTGTTGGTCAAAGCTGCTTCCTCTTGCTTCAAACGCTCGCTGAGCGGCTTGAGCTGCCCACTATGGCCACGGATAGATGCCAGTAGGTCGGTGCGCCCTCCTGCCGTGGCTGTGCTAGAATTGTGACTGGTCGCTGATTGCTGATCGGCATTGCTGGTCGTGGCCGACTTGAGCTGGCCGCCATGACCCCGAATGGCCGCCATCAAATCTTGGCGACCCGATACAGCTGCACTGGCTGTGGCTGAGCCCGATGGGGTGTCTTGCAATTGTTGAAGCGCAGATGGTACAGGTGCAGGTGGTGCAGGCGGTGCAGGCGGTGCAGGCGGTGTTGGTGCTGCGGGTGCTGCGGGTGCTGCGGGTGCTGCAGGTGGTGCAGGCGGTGCAGGCGGTGCAGGCGGTGCGGGTGCTGCAGGTACTGCTGCGGGTGCTGCGGGTACTGCTGGTGCCGCTGGCGGTGCTGGTGCCGCTGGTGCTGCAGGCGGTGCAGGTGGTGCAGGCGGTGCGGGTGCTGCAGGTACTGCTGCGGGTGCCGCTGGTGTCGCTGGTGCCGCTGGTGCCGCTGGTGCCGCTGGCTCAAATGCAGTCGAGGCTGCTTGTGTCTTCTTGCCAGGGGCGTTTTTTTCAGCTTGAGGTGCGCTCACACATTGGCTCGCCTCATCGGCTATACAAGCTTCCAAAGCCTGACGGGCGCGCTGTGTCTTGATGGTCTCGGGGTATTTCGGGCGAGCGGCGATGGGACGCTGGCTAAAGGCGTGCTGCAGGGACTCGTTTTGCCTGTGCTGCACGTTGTTGCGCATGGCCATGAATTCCTCGTGCTCAGCCCGTCGACGGCTCAGGGCCGCGCGCTGCGCTGCAAGGGCATAGCGCTCTTGTTGTGCTGCATAGGCGCGAATGCGATCGAGGGCGCGCATGCGCAAGACCTCCACCTGCTCGGGGCTCAATTGAGCCGAGGCTTCTTGCAAGGCTGGCAGGTGGTTGGCCACAAACGCCAAACTTCGGTTGCGCGCCTGGGCACGAGCCCCTTCACTGCTGCACAACGCGGCCTCGCGGTGCTGGCGGTTGTGTGTGGCACGACGCTTGGCCTGCGTGTGCGCCGTATGACGACGTATCAAAGCTTGCGCACGCTCGCAAACGCCATCCAACTTCAGCTTGACGGCAACAGTGGCACTGCGAATCCCGGCCAACTTGGCAGATCGCTGTTGCGCGGCACGTTGTTCGCGCTTGCGACGCATCACGGTCATGGTAGCTTCAGCTACAAACCCCGCCAGTGCAAGCTCCTGCTGCTGCTGGGCCAAGCGCGCTCCCTCTGCAAAAGCGTCGACCACCCGCTCACACATGACTTCTAAACGCGCCAAGAGCTCGTGCAAACGCTCCAGCACGCTGAGTTCACGGCTCTGACTACCCTCTTCCAGTTCATCGTACGTTTGACGAATGGCCAGCAGCCACTGCAAGCGCTTGAGCCGCAACACTCGGGCTCGGGCAGACAGGGCTTGGGCACCTGCGGTGGTGGCAGACCGCTGGCGTTGTGACAGTGGTTCGGTCCAGTCAATGGCGTCATCGGCGTGTCGGGCCTCTGACTCCACTACAGTTGCGCTGTTGGGCCCGTGGGGCAACCGCCCACGTTCAAAGCGAGCAGCGTCTGTGGCCAGCTGCCGCGCAGCGCGTTCGTGGGCTTCAGCGCACGCATGCAGCAAGTCACAGCGCAACTCGGCCAGTCCGCTTTGGTTCTGCAAGAGGGCTTGTGTAGACGGCGGTAAGACCACACGCTTGTCGAACCATTGCTCCAATAGCTGGGTCGGACTGGCACGGAGTAGAGCACGGTGAGTCTGCTCTAGAGTGCTGAGCGAGTCGAGGTCGTCGCCCGCGGCAAGCGCCAGAATGGCTTCGCCCTCTGCTTGCAAGACGGTGTGGTTCTCATCATAGGATGTGCGCAGGCGAGCTAGCAGTAGATCGATGAGCTGATCTTCGACATGCAGTGCGTTTATGACTTGCATGACCTGACCCAAGCTGCGACGGTTAAAATAGTGCTTGGTCAGCTCGTGGCGGCATTGTTCGACCACGTCCAAACTGAAGACGATCTGTTGTTGTTGTAAAGCATCGGGCAATTCTTCCGCGCGAAAAAAGGTGCTCAAAAGTTGCGCGTGGGGCAGGATGGAAGCGGCTGCGCTGAGCCAGGCCTGCGCGTCAGCAGCCTCGAGCTGAGGGGCCAGAAGCCACCGAAGCCCGTTGCGAGGTGTCTTGTTGTGTGCATAAGCGCGTAGCTCAGCACAGAGTTCGGATGGCAAAAGGGACTCGAGCACGGTAAGCCGGCGGCGCAGTTCTTCTCCGGAAAGATGAAGCGACCAAGCAGCCTCGGCTTCGTCCGTGGTGTGGTCGCGCAACTCGGTACGAATAACATACGACGCGCCGAGGCCCAGAGTATGGGGCTGTCGATCCACCTGAAACACAAATGCCGATGCCAGGTCCGTGGGCTGCCGGGCGATGCCCACTTCCTCGGCATCAACGAGTTCAAATTGTAAAAGTTCATCGCTTTCGGCGATGGCTGTTGCTGATGGCTCCTCATCCCCAATCGCCTGAGGCCATTTGGTAGCAGGCGTGTTGGATGGGATGGTTTCCATGTTGTTGGCCGCCATCTCAAGGGCCTGGCGCCAGGCAGTCGTGTGGGTGGAGAAGAACCAGAAGATGCGGTGGCCATCAGACACGCTGAACCGTTGTCCATTGTCCTGTACGCGCAGATTCATGCCAAGTGGAATAATGGCGCGAAACTGGTGCTTTTCGGCCTCTTCGGCGTTGAGCGCATAGGCAACGGAGCATTCCGACTCGCCCTCACGATATATGACGAGGAAGCGCGCTTGCCAACCTGCCAGGAGATTGACATACTTGGAGATGGTTCCTACACGAAATGATCGAGAGTGCGAAGCACACACACAGAGAGAGAATGAGTGGGTGGTGAGTCAACGTGTTGGAGACAAGTGGGTGTGGCACGATGAGATGTTCGGCTCGGCACCAGCATAGCCTTCGCACCGTAGTATAGCCATTGCAGGCGAGACGCTGATGAGGAAGGAATGGGATCTTCACTGGTTTCGTTGTGTCCGGCACTGTGTGCGGCTTGAGAAAGAGGACCAGAGGCCTTGGTGGAGGGAGCATCTTCTGGAGTTCTCGAAGGACTCGCGGGACCCGGCAACTCGCTATGAGCAATGGCCATGGTCAATGGTCGCTGCGAGCCAACAAACTGCCTTGATGACCGCCAAGTTGAGTGACCACCACTGGCTCACGGCAGCGTGATCGGTTGGAATGATTCAACACGGAAGATCAGATTCGTTGTGGCGTTGCTAAATGCCACCTCCAGCCGCTCGGTGCCCTGCACTGATCACGGCCGGCGATCTGCTCCCAAAGCCCCAAAGTGCATGACACCCCTTGTTTGAGGCTTTTACACATGTACATGAAGAGACAGAGACGGCATCAGAGACAAGCGCAGAGAAGGAGCCTTGTGGCAGAAAGTCGATAGAGAAAGAGGGGAAGCTGGTGGTATTTCTCTTAATGACAAAGGAGGAAAGTCAGAGAAAAGGACTTGAGGAGCAAACACAGCAGAGATGCGTGTAAAACAAGGTCCAAATTCAGAGAAGTATACAGTTCAAGTGACGTGGCGATGAGGATGACCGCACACGTATCTACACAGCAAATTGGCTACATGTGCTGTGCTGACATTTTGATGTGATTTGTCAGCACAGCCAGCGGGGGAAGTGTGAGGCATGAGTCCGTTTGAAATGTTGATATGAGCGCTGCAGACACGCGCACAGAACGCAGGGTGGGCAGACGGCGTACCGCCTTAATTCACACCTGTGGCACCATACCACGATGGGATATAGGGCGCATTGTAAAACTTCGTCGCTGGACTGATCGTGGGCTTGGATTCGGCAAAAGTTGATCATCGTTATTTTAAAGAGGAAGGAAGCTGATTTGCGTCTTTAAATCAGAGTTGATTTATATGAACATGCTGTGCGGGCCAAGGGAACACAATAAACAAGACAAAACCACAGAACGCTATCATGCGGGGAGGCAGGATTGGGGCCCAAAAGCACAATGGAGCTGCAAGCACTCAAACAAAATAACATTATTATTATTATGAACCAGCTTGGCATTACGCAGCCTGGGACACGTACTCCACCTCATACTCTTCGGAGTGGGGGCCCTGCAAGTCGGCCACAAAGGTGTGCATGTCTTCTAAGCGAACATCCTCAAGGCGGGCGGCACGCTGGACGCGCTCTAGCGTGTCGGGGTCATCGAGGATGGTCTTCATCTTGTGCGTCAAGAAACGAAGACAGGCAGCCTCGTCCGGGTAGGCGGCATGACCCAGGGGGGCGTGCACGGTGCGAGTGAGCTGCCGACCGTCAGCCAGGTCTACAATGACACGGGTGAGGATGTTGGCCGGGTAGTGGGCATCTAGAGCCGGGTCGTGCCCAACCCGGACCTAGCTAATGCACTCGCGTGTGGCATAGTCTTCCAGAGCCTCGGCGTCGTAGTCTTCCGGGGTGAGCATGAGGTCCTCGCAGAGGCCCACGAGGTCGTGGTCGGTGGACTGGCCCGGCGGCATGAACCATTCACCCATTGGTACCCAGTGTGCACTGTTTTTTTTCTTGCGTTTGGACTTGGGCATGTATTTTGCTCTTGAGTGCGCGAGCGCCTCTCTCTGAAGCTCTCTCTCTCGTTCTCTCCTTGAAGCTCTCTCTCTCTCTCTCCGGAGGGGCGGCAGCGAGGAAATCACACAGAATGCGCGTTTGACGGAGAATGATCAATGCTTTTATGCCGTCGCAGCATAGGTCCCTCTCTCTGATTGCCCCTCGTTGATTCTACGTACATGTCCACAGTAGGAAGCATACAAGGGTCGCGAAAATCGTGAAACGGACATCAAATCACAACAGATAAACACAACACTTCCTTTCAACCGTCTGACATTTTGCGCTTACATCAGCTATTTTGTCTGACATTGTTGCTCGTCGCGCGCCGTTTTGGGAAAAGCCAACTTCAGACGTTTTTTGCTCTGCGCGCTCATCATCAACGGCGGCTGCTTCTCAGGTAGACCTCCTCCTCCTTCTCCTCCTTCTCCTCCTCCTCCTCTTCCTCCTCCTTCTCCTCCTCTTCCTCCTTCTCCCCCTTCTCCTCCGCCTCCTTCTCCTCCTCCTCTTCTTCCTTCTCCTTCTCCTCCTCCTCCTTCTCCTTCTCCTTCTCCTCCTGCGGCGCCTTCTGGCTGCTTGGCCTCGTAGCTGTGCCTCCACCTGTGCCTTGGTCCGTGCCCTGATCTGTGCCTTAGTCCGTGCATTGGATCCCAGATCAAAAGAGGGAGCGCCGTGCTTTTGCCCATTGCTGTGTCAGGTACCAGGTCGGTGCTGCATACGCACTTGACTTTCCGCGTCTCAAGCCCACTGACACCTATACCTTGGCTGCTGCTTGACCCTTCAGAGACATGTCGGAACACGAGGCCGAGAATAACATGAGTGATATCGACGAGGACCCCGTCCCAGCCCCCGCAACGCGCCAGGCTGTGCTCGCGCCGCTCGACCCAGACACGTTGGCGGCTCTGCAGGCTCGCGGGGCTCAGCCTGCTGCCGCAGAGGACGCTGACGACGACGAAGATCCGTTTTTGGAATACGAAGACAATGACACGGTACCTGTGCGCGCTGGCTCACACATGGACCTTGTTGCCTGTTCCGAGACTGGGTTTGTTTCTTGCGACACCCCGGCTCAAGGTCTCGTGGCTGGATAGGTCATAGATCTGAACCATCGACGACTCAAGTCCATGGCCAAGATTGCTCGCTTCAAAGCTGTACAGGTAGTGTGACAGCCCAACCGTCACCGGCAAGCCCTATATCCCTCCGCAACCTCCTGACTCTTGTGTGCTCTTGCGCACGCGATGGCTAGGAAATCTGCTTGCGCCAAAATTACATTGAAGCCATCGAAGGCCTGGAGGACCTCAAGGCCCTTACATCTCTGGAAATGCGCGACAATATGCTTGAAACAATGGAAGGCGTTGAGAGCTGCACCAGCCTGACGTCAGTCTTATCCCATTCCCTACACAGCACTTACCCTCTCTCTCTCTCTCTCTCTCTCTCTCTCTCTCTCTCTCTCTCTCTCTCTCTCTCTCTCTCTCTCTCTCTCTCTCTCTCTCCCTCCCCCCTCCTTTCTTTCTGCCAATGCGCAATGTTTAGCCAAGGAAGCAAAGCACGTGCTCTGTCGAATATAATCTGGTCCTAGCTCACATTGGTGTTTGATGTTGATGTAGGGATCTGGACGTGTCATACAACGGTATTCGCCGCATCGAGCACCTCGAAGCTCTCACGGACCTGCGTCGTCTCTTTTTGGCCAACAACAAGATCAAAACCATTCGCAACGTGAACCATCTGAGCAACCTGGTCATGCTAGAGCTGGGTGCCAATCGCCTTCGAGTACGCCCTGCGGCGTCTTTCAAAAGCTGTGTACCGCCATGGCGGGGTGCTGTCATGGCTGGGTTGCCAAGTCCCAACTGGCCCATGCACAGCATCACTCATCCGACCACCTGCACGATACGACACTAGACGATCGACAACTTGCAAGGCCTCTCCAACCTTGAAGAGTTGTATCTTGGCAAGAACAAGCTGACCGACTTGACCGGGCTTGAGGGACTCCCAAAGCTGCGCATCCTGAGCATTCAAGTACGCTCCCACCTGCTTTTCCGCCAACCTCGCTTTTCCCGACACTAGCTGATGTTTGACCTGCATCGACAGAGCAACCGACTGACGAGCTTGGAAGGAATCGAAGCTGTTCCGACGCTGCAAGAGCTGTATGCCAGTCACAACGCCATCGAAGACATCTCCCTCTTGAACAAACTGGTTCGGTGATTGGGTGGCCCGCTTTTCAGCCGATGATATCCCCTGTACCGGCGCCTTTGCATGTTTTTCACCCTCGACCTGCCCGCGCAGCCCCATCTGGAGATTGTGGATGTGTCTGGCAACCGAATTCAGAACTTGGTCGACTTTGAAGGATGCGCGAATCTGCGCGAATTTTGGGTGTGTAGTTCCTTGCCGTCTATTTACAGGCCTGCGTGTGGTGCATGCTCTAGCAGCCAGGCTTGGCGGATGGTGCACAGGTACTAACACACGGCACCCATTATGTTGGTCTTGCAGGCCAGCTCCAACCAGGTGGCCGGCTGGCGAGAGGTCGACAAATTGCGTGCCTGCAAGCAACTCACCTGCGTTTACTTTGAAATGAACCCCATTGCCAAGGTGCAGACTCGGCGCGAGCAGCGTGCGTGTGATTCACAAAGGGCGGTCTTGTCCTTGGTCTCATGTGTGCTGTATGCTCTTTGTTACAGGAAACGATGTACCGCAAGAAAATGATGTTGGCCCTGCCAAACCTGACACAGATTGATGCCACCCTTTGCACCAGCAGTGCCCGCTAGAGCTCCTTTAAATGTATCGCGCTTCAACCTCTCCCCCAACGCCGTACTGGCCTGTCTTGGGCGCCGGGCCATTTGGCTCTGAAGAATCTATTTTTTTTTCTTTTGTGTCTTTACCCTTTTAAGATGAAGAATCCAATCCAAATCGATGAGCTAGAAAGGACTGCCGCATAAGAAAACGCTCAGTACATTCATTTTCTCCGCCAAATTGACAACATAACTATCAGGGTTACTGGAGGACTGCCGGGCCTTGTAACGATGCCCATCCTGTCCAAGGCAAGACTGGCTCATTTATCCGTACATTCTGTGTCAATACAGGGCCACCAGTTTTCAAAAAAAAAAAAAAAAAAAAAAGAGAAAAAAGAAAAACACCCAGAAGTTTACGAAAAATAGCTGAAAGTATTGCAAAACTCGGCAAATTTAGTGATGGGCGCGTGTG